CATTAGCACCTCTAGTAATATATTTACTGAGAAAAATGGTGACGTGTTCAATACTTATTTTACCCGCTGTATATATAATTATGGCAGAAATATAATAATCCTACCAAATATGCCCCAGGTTTTGTTGGAAACTGTGGCTTGAAAAACATCTACTCATTATTTTTCACCTGCTTAGAACGTGTTGAACACTCACTAAGCGAGGGGCGGGGTACACCCTKAACAGGTCGCATCACAGGGACACAAATGACCATTCGTGCTCTCCTTCACAYCTGAGGAGKATATCAGCCTGTTTAYGGTCTGTGAGAGGAAACCATGGAGAAAACACACACATGCACAGAGAGAACATGCAAACTCCACCCAGAAAGGTCCCCGGGCAGGATTTGATCTGGCAATGTTCTCGCTGAGAGGCATCAGCTGTACCGTCTGAGCCACYGTGTGGCAGCTTGAAAAAGAAACATACAATTATTTGTAAATGACCATGTGTCGATCTTTGATCCCTTTGGGTCTTGATCCTACTTAGACTTGTCATTAGCTTCTCAGTCAGGTCAAAATAAATGAAGTTTTTTCAAACTGAGGTCATCCAAACGTCTATCTACAACAAATAAAATATCAGTTGTTAATCTTATTTGGACCCCTTCTTCAAATGATCTGAGCTAACAATTTAATCMCAGTTTTGTGACCTTGATTCACTCTGAAAATAATGTCACATAAGTTCACAAAAACATTGTGTCTTTATTGTAATAGAACTAAAAGCTTAGTTTTTAAAGGAGTTTTACAATATTGTTTGAAGGAACATCTCATTTTTTATTTTGAAAAGGCAGAAACTCCACACCAAAAAAGTGATTTTCAGACAGTCTTGTTTGATTTTCAAGTTAAACATTTGTTGATTTGAAGTCCGAACAAACCCTGTCTTCATCCTTCTCTTTCTCTCCATCTTTCGAGCACCTGTATCTCACCCCTAAGGGCCGGTAACATTTGGCCACCGATAAAAAGGCCGTCCTGTAGTTGTTGTTCATCCACCCGTACAGGATGGGATTCACACAAGTCGAGCACATGGCTATGATGTGGAACACGGTGAAGAGCAGCTTGAAGTCCTTCATGTGCAGCACAGCGCTGTCGATGTCGATCGCCAGCTGAAAGGCGTGGAAAGGCAACCAGCTCACGGCAAAGACCACCACCATGGTCAGCATCATCTTGGTGGTCTTCTTTCTCCGCTGATGGTCGTTCCGACCGCACGTCATGTGTTTCTTCAGCGTGTTCCAAATGCGAATGTACGCAACAGAATTAATAACCAAAGGCACGCCGACTTGAACCAGAAGCATCGACATGCTGTAGATGCGTCCGTTCATGCTGCTTTCCGGCCACTTTTCTGTGCACACCTGGATGGATTCATCCGGGGAGAAGCTGTAAGAACCGTACTCCCTGAAAATGGCCAGCGGACTGGCCAGCAAGGCGCTGATGGCCCACGAGAAGACGATGACTGCTGCGCACAAGTCCTTGGACATCTTGGTCTCCATGTGCTGGACGATGCTCCTGTGGCGATCCAGAGCGATGATGTTCAGCGTCATGGTGGAGACGTGCACCGTCATGCCCTGGGCGAAGGGCAGCGTGAAGCACAGAACCTGGCCGAACATCCACTCGTCGTAGAGCGTGTAGACGAGGGTGAAGGGTAAGCAGAGCGTGTTGACCAGCAAGTCGGCCACCGCCAAGTTCACGATGAAGAAGTTTGTAACGGTCCGCAGGTTTTTGAACTTGTACACGACATAAATCACCAAGGAGTTTCCGGTGACTCCGAACAAGATGATGGTGCTGTAGGCCAGGATGAGAATGACCTGAACTCCGACCAGCTTCGTGCTGTCGTCCAGGTTCAAGAGGTTCTCATCATTCATTGGAAAGCAGCAGTTGAAGGATGTGGCTTCGAGTAGAGATGCTTCCTCTTGAGTCGTGTTTGGCTGATCTTTTGTATCCATGGCTAACGGTCCCCATAAGTCAATCTATGGAACAAATGCAAGTATTAGTTTAATATTATTTTATTTAAAAATCAACACCCAAGCAAAGTAGATCATCAATCAAATGGCATTGATTTTATTGACTCCAGTTGAATAGTTGATCATCATTTTGAGCTTAATTTCTGCTGTTTTGTACTTAATTACTTTGAACCCCACAAATCAGTTAGTTTACACAGTTGCTTTAACATTTTGAAATAGCAGTGCCTTGAGTCAGATTAATCTGGAGCTGTGGGTTCCAGGCTTAGCTGATGCTTCATTATCAAGGCTGAATCTGTCTTTGATTCAATTCTGAACATAATAAATCCTTTTTTATTATTATTTCTGCAGACTTCATGCACGTTCAAAGAAAATAATCATTTTAAATTATAAAACACAGCATTTTTCCAAGTCCTGTGGTCAGAAACGTTCAGTAAAAGCCCCTCATCCACTCACCTCAGAGCGTGCAAATGGAGCTGGTTCGATTCACCCAATTGTTTGAAAGCTTATGGGAACCCCGGGATAAACGGAACAATAAAACCTGATCAAAACACCAAGCCGAGCCGAACAGCTTCATCCTCCTCCGCGCGCAACCTCTACCGGTGCGCACTGCGTTCATCTGGCACCAAGGGGAACTCGGAGAGCTAGGAGGGAAACAGGAGCTGGGGGAGGGGGGACACGACATCCTCAAACGTCTCAGAAGGTTTTAAAGCCCTTAGGTATCATAGAAAAGGTTAAACTCTATTTAAAAGCAAGCAACTCTGTTCAATAGTTTAATTTATCCTCATATCTCTTATTACAACGGTAGGTTTCCTAATTATTTGCAACCAATTCCAAAAATCCTTTGTAAGAATTATTACTAACTCACCATGTTTAGCTCCATGTTTAAAAAACCTCATCAATACGTATATGGTGTCAATAAGTATCAATCAGGAACTTTGATACAGAAAATCATGAGCGTTCTGTTTTCTTTAGCATCATTATTAATATTTTTAATTATTACTATTTCACAAGGAGGAGGTACACATCTACTTTTGTAGAACCACAATTTCTAAATTCTCAAGATGTGCTTCCAATCATGTCCATGATCTGTATTTAAAAGAAAGCTGAAGCAAGGTTTCAGTCATGTTTTTTGACTGACATTTATTCAGATATGTCTGTGAATTTTGAAGCACAGATGTGGAACTGAGGTTTTTGTGTTTTGACATACAGTATGTTTTCATTTTAGTTTTATTTTAGGTTTTAATTTAGTGTTGTTGGGGGCGTGGGGGGGACCTGTAAGCCCGAGTTTTAARATCTCTCCTGAACTTGTGTTTTCTCAATATATACAGTATTTCACATATCTTCTAATCTCTCTTTCACTCTTTCCCATTACATTTCACTTTCACTTTTTTCTTCTCTTAATTTTTCTTTTTTATATTAAAAAAGTCACTGATGATAAAGAAACTAAGAAACTAATATTCAGTTCTGCTTTCTACTGAAGTAGCTTAAAAAATAAAAGAAAGATCTCTCCTGAACATCTTGTATTTTTTTTAGTCCGGACAAGGTGATTGTGTCATCATAGCCAAAGTTTGAATTAATCTGAAGCTCTGTGAAATATATCAGTTGTTCCAATATTTTTGACGTAAGTACTCAGTGGAGAAGATCCTCAGATTAGARAAACACAGTTGAATTCTGACATAATCTGAGTGGCGTTGAGATTTTCTGTCCTCCTAAAACAACTCCAMTCAGCTTTTCATTGAAATCAATATTGCGACATAAGGCATTACTATAGAATTCTATTGTATTTTTGATGGTATAAAGGTTACTACATCAAAATTATGGAAACTTATCAGATATTTGATGTTTCATCATTTTCAGAATCATGTCTTTGCCTCAGCAAGATACGTTTTTATCTGATAAATATCTGTTCAGATTCAAATTAAACACAATGGGGACTTTTACCTTTAAATTATTTAATAAGTTCTAAACAGAAATTACCTTTTCTTGTATTTATCTCCTGTATGCCTTAAACAGCTGAGACAGCTTATAATTCTGCTGGGTAGTATTCCCCTTTGAGTCATTTTACAGATTTTTACAGTTGTAAAAGAAACAAGGATGGCTGTATTTACCATGATAATAATACTCTGAGATTTTAAGCTGCAATCATTGCTGCAACAAACCAAAAGGTGCACTTCTAAAAAAYGATAAAAACATCTGCAGCTCAGAATTTTACGTGGATTGTTTTGACCCAAGGGCAGCAGGAGGGTTAAATTAACTTTAACCAAAATCTCATGGACTCATCAAAGTTACCACAGGTGCCTCCAGCAGTTGGCTTTCAATTTCTTTGTCCTTGGTGTTTTTGTCCAAGTCGACGTGTCCTTGGACGGCTTTATGACTGCTTTTTAGAAATGTCTGAAATGTATTAAATTACTTAGCAGAGCTATTTGAAAATGTTATCTTTTTCTGCTTTTTCATTCAACAGAGAAAAGAGAAAAATAAATAACCTTTACAGGTTTTTTGGCACAACACAGAGCTTCTCACTTTGAAAGCAGCAAATCCTTTTACAGCGGGTAAAATAAGTATTGAACACGTCACCATTTTTCTCAGTAAATATATTACTAGAGGCGCTAATGACATGAAATTTTCACCAGATGTCGGTAACAACCCAAGTGATCCATACATACAAAGAAATCAAACCATAAATGTCCAGAAATGAAGTTATTTGTAATAATGTGGAATGGCACAAGGAAAATGTATTGAACGCGCTTACTGAAATCTATCTAATACTTTGTTTATCCATCCATCCATTTTCTTCCGCCTATCCGGGGTCGGGTCGCGGGGGCAGCAGCTTCAGAAGGGAGGCCCAGACC